ATAATTTATATATATATATATATATATATAATTCCTGACCACAGACTATCCCTTTTTTCTGATTTTTAATGCATTATATACAGATTGAGGGCCAAAATTTACTAAAATAAATTTTTGTCAAAAAATTCCAAAATTTAGTGCTTAATTATCAGCCAACCTCCTCACCAGAATATTCAGTTTGTTAGTACAAAAATATGACTAAAACTAAATCAAAGAGAATTAGTCATGAAAAATTAGTGAGAAGTGATAAGGTAAAGAAAAACTTCAAAATGTAGTTGATACTAAAATGTAATTGTTATTTCATTTTTCCCCTCAGCTATCAGTTTGCTTTGTCACACTATGTTATCGTTAAAAGGAATTAATGTTTTGGGGTATTTATTTAAACAATCTTATCCATAATATCACAGGCAATATAGATATACTTGTAGATAATTAGTATTTCAGTAGGTTTAAATTATATTGTGATGTTTACTTACATCATCAGCAAATTCAACAAAGAGTTTTGGAGATGCTAAGATTAATTAAAGATATTATCAAAATTATTGTTTTTGCTTCTTAATGAACTATTATATTGCATTCTTGAAGATAATTAAAAATAACTTTATTAAAAAAGTATGAAAACTCATAATTTTTTTATTTATTTTTACTTTATTGAACAATTTGATAAATTATCTTTTAAAGAAGCAATATATGATATGATGGATGCAGAAATAATAGTGTGGAATCAGAAGTGATGCTTTTTGAGTTGATTTGTCTGCCAGTTTGAAGCTTTCTTCCTTTGCTCATTTGTTTTTTTAAGTAAATACTGAAATAGGCACAATCCTATTAAGCATAAAATGTGAATTTTAACTGCATTTTGATAGTTAAAATACATTACAAATTCTTCTTTAAAAAATAATACTTTTAGAAAAAAAGAAAAAGAATACTTTCTAGGTTAAGTTGAACAAAAAATAACATTTCTAGATTAAATTGAATTAAGTTAAGAAAACTGACCTAAAATGTGATAGTTTATCAGGCTGCATGCATATATACAATTCTTGCTATATTCATAATGAATGAATGGATTCCCTTTATGATATGGTCTATTACTGTGATTTGTTTCCTAAATCTGTTACTGATGTGTGCCAAAATGCATTTGATAGCAGCAATTATTTTTATTTAATACAAATACATTTATAGCATTCAACATACCATATTCTTAATGTATATTCCACATATTAGGAGTTGTAATGAAACAGAATAATATTTATTATCCATGTAGTTTGTGAGCAACTTGTAACCAATTTTAATTAGCCTGTTTATAATAACCACTAAAAAGTTGCATTTTATGTACATTCATGCCATATACTGGGTGAAAATAACTTTCTCCTAATTATCTATTCATGAATTTCTTATTGTTTGATAGTTAATTTCTATACCAGTTTATAAGTAAATAATAATTATATCATGCAATAGAATAATTTCTTTGTGTGTGTTGTAAAATGGTATTAGCAAAATTGTTGTAATTAAAGCAGTTTGATATTTTTAAATTTGATAACATGTGGCATAAGTTACTACACAAATTCTACAGCTATGGAATCTCTTGGAAGAGTTTTCTCTGTTATCAAGTCTTTCCTATCTGGTAGATTTATTAAAGTTGTTGTTAATGACCAGTCCTCTGAAATACATGAGATCAATGCTGGTGTCCCTCAAGGCTCTCTCCTCAGTCCTACCCTATTTCTGCTTTATGTTAATGATCTGTCTAAGATGATCTTTAGTAAATATATATGCAAATGATATCATGGTGTATCAGTACACTTCAAAATATCCATATGACCAGAGTTTGTTGGCAGATCTCTCCTCTGACTTAGCTGCTTAATAGGGATAAAGATAGATTGTATCATTCAACACCTCCAAAACAAAGCTGATAACATTTTATCATCACTAAGCAGACCCTAAATTTGCTCCAGTCCTGATGAGCAGTCATGTTCTTAATGAGGATCCTTGCCTCAAATATCTATTGGGACAAAAACTCACTACACACCTCAAATAGAATTCATATATTAGTACCACTGCTAAAGATGCTGAGAGAATGGTCAGTTCCTTATATCTCTCCAGAAATTACTTTACTCCTGCTGACATGCTCTATTTTTTCAAGAGTCAGATCGGATGAAGAATAGTATAGCTGCTATGTCTGGACTGGTGCTGCTCAGTCATCAATACCCAGTTTTGATAGGGTTTAATATTGATTATGCAGCCTTGTGAGTGATGAATTATTTTCCAGCCTGTAACCTTTATCCCACAGGTGAGACCTGTCTAGCTTCTCACTACTCTATTGCTATTATTATGGCAAATGTTCAAACAGGCTACATTCCACCAGTTCAGACTTTCAAAGCAAGGACCTGCCATGCCATGTTCATGGTATCAAATCATACTCATTCCCTTTGTGTTTCATTGTTAAGGTTGACATTCTACTCAGACAGCTTCTTCCCTAGAACTGTTACTTTGCAGAAGAGACACACAAACTGATCCTTCCCCAATTACTAAAATGTCAGCCTCTTCAAGTCTAGGGTAAACTGATATCTATTCTACATATCCTCATACTTACTTCCTTCTCCTCCCTCCCTTATGGCCTTACAACAATCTCACTTAGTAAATCTCTAGCTTGAGTGACTCTTGGACCTTGTACTGAGTAAAAAGTTGCTTATTCAACATATTATGTCTTATAATTTATATTTATTACAATTTCAAAATTATCTGTACTTTTGCTATAACATATCTGTGGTATGAGTGTAGATAATTTTTGACTTTCCCTTGTACTATCTAAAATGTCCACATTGTTAAATTACTTTTATACACATTTTACTGTCAGGCAGTGACATAAATGCTAAGGTTGTTACTATTTTCAAAGCAGAAAATGACTTTATTAAAAAATAAAAAAACTTAACAATTGCTTATTTACAAAGATCATAGAAACAAATTGAAAATGAGTAACAGAAGAGTTATTTAAAAAAAAAATGAACTATTGTCCTCATCTTTGTCGCCATATTTATTACAACATTTCGGCTGTTGTACACACTGGCCTTCTTCAGGTGGTTGGAATGTTGAACTGAACCCTTTATTTCGCTCACTAGGGTAGACTGTTCTAGTTCCATGTGCCATGTTTTAATGGATGTCAGTTATCAGTTATCTCCTGTTAATTTCCCTCTGAATGTCAGATGGTTCGATATTCATGCCAGTTTCTGGTAGGATTTTTCAATTTGTTTCCCATCAATTCAAGCAGAGCCTATCTGGTCACAGAAAAAGTGGGACACACTCTTGTCCAAGAGAGAATCCAGTACAATCATTAGATAAAACAGAGACTACAAGCTCATATCTCCCAGAGGCTTGAGGATTTCTTCAACAGAATTACTAATGAAGAAGACCAGAGAAGGATCCAAAATGACCTGGATAAATCCTTCAGACATGACTTTGATGTAGTCAAGGCTCGCCAAGTGCAAAAATTAAATAGATTGAAAGATCAGAAGGTGACGCACAAGGTCCATCATCCACCAGTGAAAGCAGTAGTCAACATCAGCCAATATCAGCCTTTAAGGAGTCAGTATTGAATAAGGGTCTCAACTTTGCCACAACCATCAGGCGAGTGCCATACTTGGACATCATTATTGAGTCGAGGAGGTGGCCTTGAACATCCCTCAGGCTCAGGCGGATGAACTGAGATGGAAGGTAAGACAGACCTTGGAGAGAGCCAAGCCGCCCAGGTCTAACATAACAAAACTGGAGAGGCTGGCAATCAGATCCCTACAGAGGAATGAAAACATCATCATACTACCAGCTGACAAAGGCAATGCAACTGTAGTGATGGACAAATCAGATTATACAAGCTGCAGCTGTGGAAAGAAATATAAAGGGGAGACAGGCTGCCCCCTTAAGGTAAGGCTTCAAGAACACCATAAAGTTGTAACATGAGGGGAAGTGGAAAAATCAGGCATGGCTGACCACATATGGAGAGAGAAGGGAGATCATTGCTCTCTATGGGATCAGGTTGAGATCATAGACAAAGAACACCATTGAAAAATTCGTCAACTTAAGGAATCAGCACATATGCTAGGCCACAAAAATCTCCTGAACTGACCAAGCATAGAAATGAATACAATATGGAAACTAGTAATATGGAGTGCCAGAGAAAAGCGATAATAACAACAAAAATTGCAATATGAGCTCTGGTAAAAACACGGAATGATAACAGCAAAAATTGCAATATGAACACTGGTAAAAAATGGTTGCTGAAGACATTAGGTTTATAATACCCAGAAATTCATACACAGATGTCCTCAAGGACACATGGCACAGTGGATAAAGGCATTAGTTAGATCCAGTGACAGGACCCAAAGAGTCTGAGTTCAATAAGGCAGTGGAGAACTTTCAGAGGGAAATTAACAGGAGATAACTGATAACTGACATCCATTAAGTGGAACTAGAACAGTCAACCCCAGTGAGCGAAATAAAGGGTTCAGTTTGACATTTCAACCACCTGAAGCAGGCAGGAGTGTACAACGGCTGAAACATTGTAATAAATATGGCGACAAAGATAAGTACAATAATGTACATAATACCTCATCTTAGAAATATAGACAGATACTAAAAAAAAATGATTTTTTAAAACTGAGTATGCAAAATAGTTATCTTCATTATGCAAGAACAACTCATTTAAACATGATATAAGATGCATGCTATTAGACATAAATGATAAAACCTTATTTATTTAATGTCAAAGTTTTAGAAAATGTTTCCATACACACAAAATAAAACAACTTTATAGATATTTAATTTTCAGGGTTTCAAGCAGAAACCCACAAGTTTCGAACTTTAGATATTAGATTAGTTTCATTTTAGCAATTTAGTGAACTAAAATGTTATGACTAAGAGGCAAATCTTAAAACTACATTTTAAGTGCATCTCAGTTACAATCTCTATTGTACACATCTATAAGTAACAAAGTTAGGAAAAAATGTACTCACCGGTTTATAAGGATATTCTCTTATTGCTTTAGCACACTCAATTTGACAACAGCGGTCAGCTACATCCGCAGCCGTCTGACCAGCATTGTCTTTGATATTTGGATCACAGTTATTCCTTAGTAAGACTAGAACGCACTGCAAGACGAAACAAGAGAAAAAAAGCAATGATAAAAATCCAGCAAGCAGTTGAAGGGTACTGAATCAAGCATTGTTCTGCTGACTTTGGAAGAGACTTGTCTGATTAATAATGATTAAATGAGTATTCTTCAGGATTGCTGCTATATTGGTTCCTAAGTCATTCATAGATGAATGAAATTTCTTTAATTTACATTCTGCAACTGTCAGAGAAATATTGTCCAAATAGCACAAAGCAAGTGTCCAAATCATGTTCACACACACACACACACACACTGATAAAAAAAGAAATAGACCAAAATGGAAATAACAGAGATATAGGGGCCTGTTTGGTAAATTAGTTAGTTGTGTATATGCCACCAATGGCTGTGGTTACTGTTTAAATCCAGGTAAATTTATGTAAAGAACAAAAACAAAACAAAAGCAATTCTCATATATAAAATGCAACATGTATTCATATATTTTGTAACACTTTTCACAAAGGGTACAGACACCAAACTGATTCAAAGCAGAAAAATGATGATTGAAATTTTGATCCAAGACAGACTGCTCAGATACTTTGATCTTTGACTCAAATACCTATCAATAGGTAAGTCATTTATTTTATAGAGTGTAGGTACTATGCTAATTTTATTATAATATATTAACAGGCAATAAATAACTTTATACTTTAAAAGTCATTAGTACAATAGGGAACATTTTTACATTGAATAAAATCAATAACATCTAAATTTTATATTATGATTTTCAATTTTGTTTCAACTGAGACATAAAGCCATCATCATATTCTTCATCTGGACCCTGTCTTGTGTTTTGACCTGATAGACTCATCTCTTTTAATTCTGCCATTACTGTCCTCTGCCACATAACTTTCTCTTTCCATATATGTGCTTTTTGCAGGCATCTGGAGTCACTCTAAAGATAGTTTTAGGTATCCTTTCAATGGAAATGCTTGGGACACCTACATTTCTTGACATCAAAAGACTAATAACATAAATATTTAAACAAGAATACATAAGGCACACTCATGTGACCCTTAAAATAGATATTTACAGAAACTAAAGGCTATACACAAGCACATTTGTATCAGTATGAATCTTAATTACATCAATACAGAATTTGTATTTGTAAGCTGATCATTATAACTGTCCATCCAATCATATATAAACATCTCATCAAAGTGCATTTAAGTTTAACATTAATCTCTGATGAATCTAATAATCTCTAATAAAACAATTCCTAAAAAACAAATATTAATGTATAGTTATTATTTTACTGATTGTTGCCGGCAGCCACTTGTATAAGGATTGACATCCTCTCTCTCTCTATTTCCTTTCCACCCCCCCCCTGGTGGCACTGGTGGAGATGGCTGTGAATCAGAGAGTTTGATAAGGCCATTCAGTTTGATTTTGGTGAATGACTCTTTGTGACAGAGAAGCCCATACACTTGGCCAGAAGCACTTCCCTTGTGGCTCAAAGGGGACTGTGACTGGCAACATCTGACAAACCTTGTTACGTCATGTCAGATGTTTGGTCTATCAAAGTCCGCCTTGGTTCTTACTGAAAATATAGTGACAAAATGATAAATATATGGGTATCTACTAGTGGCACAATGATTAGTAAGCTAGCCTTGCAGGTTAATTCACTAGTACAGTCAGTTTGATTATCATAAGTACCCTACTACAATGTAGTTTTTATCAAACAAAATTAGGTTACATTAGTTTGGCTGATTTTATGAGATGTCAATCCCTGTTGGGTTATTTAATGTGGAATTTTGTATGAAGCATCCAATGAGTTGTTATGACCAACTAAACTAGTCTTACTTAACCATTACTCTATGACAAGGTGCCTACCAGACTAAGCTATAATTAGTGTGTGTGTATATATATATATATATATATATATATATATATATATATATATATATATAATATCAAATTCGACATATGAGGGTCAAGCAGATCAGTTTCTAGGAAATGACAGGCTAACACTAGCACATAAGATTTGATTATAGTGGTGAAGGTTTCGTCCAGAACCATCCACACTTTTGAAGGGCTGAATACAGAGACCTGGTGCACAGCATGCTGCAAGGTCCCCAAACAACCCTCTGCAGGTTTTGAATCCAGAGCTGTCTTTCTCCTAGACTAGTTCCCATCCAAAGCTATAGAACCCAGTCTGTCCTGCTATTTACCCATAGCTGGAGGGAGAAGAAGAGAATTCATACCTTTCCCAAGGGTATTAGCACATAAATGAATTTAATGGATTCCACTATAATTCAAACTTGGCTCTCCGATTCCTCAATCCAAGCCATTATCCATTACTCCACTGTGCTTCATATATATATATATATATATATATATAGAGAGAGAGAGAGAGAGAGAGAGAGAGAGAGAGAGAGAGAGGTTTATTTAAAAAAAGAAAGACCAGATTTCAAAAGTTTTATAAAAACAAATACTAACAGACAGAAACACATTCAAAATATTATTAAATAGGAAAAGGTTCAAAGTTCAATCTTGTTTAAATACTTCTTTTTGTTCTTATTTTTTTCAGATTTTGTATAAATTTAATTTAATTTGTGGAAAAGTGGATCTTCATCATCTGTGGCCTCCCAGGTCACCAGATCTTACCACATGCAACTGTTATCTGTGGGGGTAATTAAAAGAAAGTGTTTGTTCCACTTCAAATCTTCAAGCGTAGCAGACTCTTGAAAATTTGAGACATTGAATTTCTGAAGGTCTGAAGTCAATATCCACAGATCAATTGATTCAAGTGTAGCAAGAAGTGGAATACCATTTCAATGTTTGTTGTGCAACATGTTGAGTGCATACAAGTTGAACAACCTTAAAATAATAAAATTTGAACCATTTCCTATCCAGTAATGTGTTGAATGTTACTCTTAGCATTTGTTTCATTAAATTTTCAAAATCTGGTCTTTCTTTTTGAATAACCATATATATATATATATATATATATATATATATATATATATAAACCTAGTGAGTCAGACAATTTCATTTAGGTTTCACCTAAACAGATTGTCAGGAAAGTCGGCCGACTTTCTCTGACGATCCGTTTAGGTGAAACCTAGGTAGGTTTGTCTGGCTCACTAGGTTTATCTAGGTCTGCTCTATGGTTGTATTGAGCTCTTTTGTTAGTTAGTTGTTTACTCGTATCGGGTTTTTTTTTCTTTGGGCTTCAAACCTGCATTCAAAAGGATTTTTTCAACAGACTTTCATGTTTATAGCACTTTCTTTTTTAAAACTTTTTTTCCCTCGAGATTGATTTGATTATTGGCAAATCAAAAATTTGAGGGTTTTTCAAAATGAGTTTCGTTATCTATATTTGTATGTATATATATATATATATATATATATATAATAAATACATATTATCCCTCATTGGTAGCACAACTCAGAGGTTCATATGCAATGCAATCTTCAAGTGCTGAGTATAGATTGACTATTATGTAATTTAAATTTTAATTAAAATATCTAGCTAATACAATGTTGTCATAGTCCTAATATTAAATGGGATTACAGTTTTTATTTAAAATTAATTTTTATATATATATATATATATATATATATATATATATATATATATATATATATATATAAATCCTGTTTATTTCAAATGCCAAATTTTTTTTTTTAAATTAAAACTGTAATCCTCATTTAATATATGGACTGCAACAACATTGCATTAGCCAGATACTTTTATTAAAACTTAAATTGCATAACGGTCAGTCTATACTCAGCTCCTGAAGATTGCATTGTGCATGAAACTCTGATGAGTAATGCTATTGGTGATGGATAATATGTATATTTATTAATATATACTTAATAGCTCTATTATATTACATCAAGCACTGTTTTATTAACACCAGCACTATATATGTGATATATATATATATATATATATATATATATATATATATATATATATATATATATATGGGAAAATGATATATAAATTTTCATATATCAAGAAATATTTTAGAAAAATCTGTGACAAATTGGAAAAAATTTTCATGTAACATGTTTTGTCCTTTAGAACTTCATCAAATTAAAGTGATGTTTACATTGATGCAACTACACACGCACATGAAGGAGAGAGCATGCTGAAATTAACTTTTTTTTAATATGTGTTTTGGGTATATAGTCCAGCTGATTTCATTTAGTTTCTTTCTATTTATATTTTTATCACTTTTGTCATTAATTATAAAGAGGCTACCACTAATTCAAATATTTATTTAATGTCATGATATCTATTTTTTGTTTGACTACATTGGGCTTATTGACCTTTTACAAAAACTATCTATATAGTCTATACTTGAACAAAATGTGAGTCCTAAGTCCCCCCCCACACAAAAAAATGAAAACCATACAAAAGAACAACACAAAAACAAAAAAAAGAATATTGTTTTTTGATGCCACAAACTGTAAATACTTTTTCTTTTGACGTTTGAATTTTCAGCTCTCAGAAACTAAATTATTCAAATCTTATGTATTTGCATGCTTGTATCCCTACGTAGATGCTTACTAAACTTAGCATATTTTGGCAATATCCACACAGAGAAGATTGTATTACATGAAGTCTCTAATTAGAAGTGGTTTGTCTGCCTTGAAAATCAGCATTTTAAAGTCCCAGCTTCTATTTGGGCTTGAACTTCAATCAGTGGCATACCTATTTCATCCACCAAGCAGGTTTATAATATTACCCTTAGAATCAGTGAAATGTTTGACAATATATACATCATGAGGATGATTCCCTTAGATATATCAAAGGCCTTTGACAAGGTGATCGCTACACAAGCTCTGGAAGAGTGTTGTCAATTATCAACTCCTTCCTAAGAGGTAGGTCAATGGAAATCATTGCTAATAGTCAGTCCACTGAGTCTTATGAGATCAATGCTACATTCCCCAAGGTTTGCTTCTCAGTCCTATCTTCTTTTTATTTTATATTAACAATCTGTCTAAG